GCCAGGTCTGATGGAGATAGGAAGTTACAAAAACAATTAGACACAACTGGTGCAAACTCTCTTTTGTTTAGTGGTGAAATTATAAAAATTAAGAAGTTATGTTGTGTACTCACTCTTTCTGTTTGTACCTTAGGCTGGGAGGCCTGCTGAAATGGGAAGATGTGCAGGAAAATTAGATTACAAACAAGAAAACTGCACCAAAAGTCTTCTCCTTAAGGTTTCCTCAAAATGTTGATACTTAAGGTTTTCTCCTTATCTTGGTGTTATATGTACAGAATCCTTAAACAGTTGCACAAAAGACCTTAGGTATCACAAGCATGACTGCAAGCAAATAAACAGTTCCTGTGGAAACTGCAGAATTTTATCACTGTATAATCCCTTAAGCTTTTTCCTTAACTAAGAATCATTTTAAGGGATTCTATGAAGGATTCTGTTGTACAGCCCAGTCCAGCGGAGGAGAGTTGAGTCCTTGTCCATGTCTCTCCTATGCTCCTTTTCCATCTAACTATGCGCTTTCCTTTTGTATCCATCTAACCTTAACCCTTTGGCTCCCACTCAGAAACACCCAGACAGCACCATCACTCCCACTCATAGTCTCAAGTATGTGTTTAAAGGGATTCTAACACCTAGTCCTGAACTGAACTGTGCAACACCCTTAAATAAGTCCCTCAACTAAGAGGAAATTAAGTCCTACATCTCACACTTACATAGAAAACTTAAGGTGTTTTGTGCAACCGGTCCCTGAATATCAAATACAGCCTACATATATTAAGTGTTTTATTTAAATTTTATATTTTGAGGTAAAAACCCATTCAAATTCAAAACTATTACATTAATAGACATTAATACGTGACATAAAATAAACAACAAACAAATTAATATAAAACAACAGCAAAAATACATAATAATATATGTAAGTAAACCACACCCACACTGAACTACAAGCATCATCTTCACGAAACTAACAAGAAATAAATTATATCACCACAAATAAACAAATGACCAAATAAATCAGTCAGTAGTACTAATTAATGAAACATTTAAGCAGCAGAGGGGTATCATGCAACACTTATGTAACACTAAAATGTGACTGCGGTGACATGATTTCAACAGTGTGTGGTCAGCAGGGCAGACAGTCGACTTTGCATCACAGCCACCGCACCTGACTCAACACCTGCAGCTATGTTATTATCATTAAGTCTAGTCTTTAGTCATCAGAGTCTGCTGCATCTGTTTTTAACCATAATTCAAATTAGCGAAGGATAGCTGACAGACACAGTAAAGAATTTGGGCTCTTTTTTCCCCTTTATTTCTAATTGTTTAGTCAATGTGCAGCCAATATGCACTGAGCACTTCTACACTGGTGTTTTATAAAGGCATCTTTACTTAGACAGTGTATTGTTTTAATGTTAACATTTGCTGTTTTATGCATAAGCACAGAGAAGCCTTCTTTTCTGTACATGTCATTTTGTATGTCTCACCTGCAGAGGGAGCTGTGGTCTCTGTGTGGTTCTCTCCAGCTTTTGCTGACCGTTGTTCGGCTGCAGCACGGCAGTGTTCCTCTGCTGGGGGTAGCCGTATGGAGGCAAAAAGTAAGGGAAGCCCTGTGGGTGATAAAATCAGTTTAAATCAGATGTTGGCATCTTCATAAACAGAATAAGGTTTGCAGATGGGTCAATATGTTTTCCTTCATACCTGCTGTCTGGGAAATTGAGGATATCTATAAGATGGATACTGGAAATTTGGAAACATCTAAAGAAAATTTAAAACAGTTACTGATTTCATCATATGACTGTGAGCGGCAGCAGCTTCAGTGTTAATACAAAGTAATCACATTACATGGTACCAGTATTCTCCATGCTGCTTAATACCTGAACAGGGTTTTGGACCTGCTGAGGGATAGTAGGATTGTTGGGATCCTGTGGAGGTCCAAGCTGCTCTTGCTGGCCGTTGGGGAGGATCACAGGCGTTAGCTGGTTGCCCTGGTTGGGGAGAAACAGCTGAGGCCCCTGGGGACCGAAGGGGCCGGTCACTTGCGGGTTCAAGTTCACCACCTGTGGGGTGAGCAGCACCTCGGGCTGCTGCTGCTGCAGCACATACTGGGGTATTAGTGAAGACGCCTGGAGATGAAGGGATTTGGGTCAGTTGAGAAATTTTTTTTTTGGTACACACATGTCAAGCTTTTTAATCAGACAAAGGGATACAGATAATAAAATGTAAAAGATAAAAATGTGCTTCCATTACCTGTGTTTGTCCAAGTGTTGCAAAAGTTAGTCCATTCAGTCGTAGGAGCTGAACACATAAAAGGTTGTATTAAATTTGGTAATATTATTCCTATATGACAACAGATTTTGACTTAGCAAGCAACAAACATAAAAGTTTTAGCAGATATATTTACCTCATTGCTGTTGCTTGCGATGATTCCAATCTGTACCTGAAATACACAAAAAATAGCTCTTTATCTCTGCCATTTAAAATGATATGAGAAATATATTCTGTAGCAAGAGATTCTACTCACTGGAAGAGCAAAGCTTGTCTTGAATAGACAGACCAACAGAAGGGCAGTCTGCAGCTTCATCGTGTCTTACAGTCTGTAAAAACATAAGAAATGTTTTTTTAAAAATCCATTTAGATCACATGTCAGACAGAGAGCTTTCACTGAAACATCGAGCGTTAGAAACTCTTCTCACCGTTTCTCTGGCTCTGCTTTCCCTTTCTGTTTGCCTGCCTCCCTGTGTGTCCATATCCCTTTTAAATTCTGTCCGTGTTTGCTGTCATAGTCCACCGCCAACCCCTCCAGACAATATGTGGTCAGTATGACAGACATTTCTCATGGCATCAGACTCAGACACTTGCAACACAAGACAGGTAAGTATGTCATTAAGAGTAAGTCATGTCTTTAAACAGCGTGACATGCTCTGCGTTAAGTTGTTAACAATCCTCTAAAGTATCTGAATTAAACATGTTTTCTACAAACATTACACACCAGCTTTAGACTGACAGTTTTGCTTCAACAGGCCAGTGACTTTCAGCTTCAGGTGACCTGTGTAGATAACACACTTCTTATATGATCTCTTAAGTAAAGTTTATGTTCAAGTGTTTTGCTTCAGGTTGTAATTACACACGTTTAGAGTAACAGGATTTTTTTGGCATGTCATGAGAAAAAAAAGACAAACAGGAGCTGGGAGCTTACAAACAGACATTTGTCACAAGTTGTTCATCGTGCGCTGACTGGTGTTGGTAAATCATGGGTATTAAAGGAGTACTTATCCACAAAATGATCAGCAGTTAGTCACTCCATGTTATGTTGAATTCATGAGGTAAATTTTGTTTATCTCACATGCCTCGGCAGTGAACGATGCTGATCAAATTCTGTTACTGCGTTGCCGATTTCTCACCTAAAATGTTGCTAGAAATGTAATTTAGTGCACTGTTTCGCTGTAATATAAGAGTTTGTAAACAGGAAGTGGATGCTTACTTTTTCTTTTTACTTTTAATAGGCACTGCAGCTACCCTTAAAAAGTCTGTACTGTTGCATACAGTACGCACACAATCGGGACATACCACTATCTCTTAACATTACACCCTGTACTTTGACCCTCTTGGCCAATCAGCTGTCAAGCTATCATCTCTGCTGGGCAGTCAACGTGAGGTATCGTCCACTGCACAGAGGATTGTGGGTTGGAATAGCCAGAAAATCATGCTGGCTTGCAGACTGCAAAATTGGACCGGATGTTGCAGAACATTGTGGTGTTTTTGGCTGCATTTAACATATGTTTTGGGACATACTAAATCTTTTTCTTGCATACTAGCATGGTAGTACTGGAATGCACAGTGACATCAAACAGTAAAACTAAGAAGTGCAGATGAAATATGAACCAAGATTTTCTACTGTGTTGCCCATTTCTTGCCTTTTCTTTTCAGAAACATACTTTAGCTTACAAATCAACTGTAGTCAAGATTGTTTGTTACCAGTCGGCCGCCATATTGTTTCCTGTGGAAAAAACAGCCAAGCTCACATTACGTCAGCCACCAGCTGGAGCATTTGTTGGTCTGGTGAGGTGCAGTGCATTCTGGTGGTTGTAGGTTCTCTAACTCTTGAGCAAAAGCAAATGCCGCCTTCCTTTTCTTTTGTAGCACCAATTTCAAAAGTATTTTATTCTTTCTACTGCATCGATGGCCCAATTTTATGAAAAGACCATCTTTCTAGCAGTGAATTACCTCTTTAATTCCAGCAAAACTATATCAAAACACCTGTTTACAAACTCTCGCACAGCTCCTGCAGTATCATCCAAGTCTCATTTCTCAATATTTAAAACACGCCTGCATACAAGTAGTGAGCTTGGCAAGCGTGTGTGCTTGAACTCCGCTTGTGCTTTCAACGCTCCTCGTCTGTGCATGAGACTTTATAAAGAAGTTTTTTAAATAGTAAGTTTATAGTAAAAATGCATGTGTTTGGGAAGTACTGAGCAAACAACTGGATGAATAGGACTTGGATTATACTGCACAAGTTGTGTGAGAGTTCTGCTGTTAAATGTGGACCCCTTTTTCTCCAATTCATCAAGGATTTTTGCGGTTTTTCGATTCTCCATTCACCGTGGAGGCATGTGGGGAAAAAAAAAGTTTTGTTATTGTATTCAAGGTACTATGGGGTGAGTAACTGATTCACGGGGTTAAGTATTCCTTTGATAGATGACTGAGTCATGTTGTGGAAACACTGCAAAAAAACAGGAAAAATTGTTTTGTGAGTCCGTCCATAGAAGTTTGACAGCTTGTTCATTAGTTCAAATAATTTGTACCAATTAACTTTTAATGTCTTTAAGGTTTTTTGTTCTTGGTTCTTCTTATTCAGGTTAAAATGAGAATTAAAGCGGGGCTAACACATGCCTCTCTTTTTGAACCTGAAGTGTGACCAACAGGCCTTTTCTCACAGCAGGTACTACGACTTGTAGCAGGAAAAGCACAGGTGTTACTGATAACATCAACTCCGGGGGGCTCCTTCCTGAGTGTGACAATAATTTACACCTGTGCTGCTCCTGCTGTGAGATGTCAAAACACATCCTCTATCGAAGAGGCCTACATGTGACAGGTTTTTCATGTCACAGCAACACAGCTCGCATCTTAATTAACTGTGTGCTGTAAGTCCTTTATAGAATTAAGTCTTTTATTTTATCTCCTTATAAAAGTGATTTCATGTTGTTTTATTGTGCATGTTTTATACTTATTATCCTTTAGGTGGCAGCAGAGATCCACTTTAAATTGCAGCCATAACCACAGTTTCCTGGTGAGAACTGTCTGATATATACATACAGAAGGCTCGATGAAACAAACTTTAATTTCAAGTGTAATTTATTTTTATTGGATAGTTGACATGAACAGTACATCACTATGATTCAGTCTGAAGTTGGTTTTAAAAGAACACATAACACACACACAGCTTCCACAGTCATCGGTGATTAGCGAGACAAAATCACATCATTCAAGTTTTATTATCACAGTAATCATTGCATGTTTGATTGATTCATTCGTTGAGATTATCATCTTAATAATCGTCATGATGATCGTCGCAGGGAGGGGTTGTGGTTGTTGTGCCAGTAGGAGCTGGAATCTGAGGAAAATGAGACATAGACGATTCACAGCTAGACGAAAAAACCCGCTCATATTTGACAGCATTGATGAGGTTACCCACTGAAATCTGTTCCTTTGCTTGTAAATTAAATAATCTTACCTGAGTATCCACAGTGGTCTTCAAGGGGTTGTCCTGTTTCATAATCTGACGCTGCAGAGTCAAAGAACATCAGTTAGCCAGTGTAGCTTTCATCAGTGTCCACAAACAGAAGCTGTAAATACACTTTAGTTACCCTGAATCTTCTGAGTGGATCAGGCTGAAGAGGAGGCTGCTGTTGCACTGCACCACCCGTGATCCCCTAAAAAAACAGCAAGATTTAGTGATTAAGTGATTTGTTAAATTTCTACAATGTAACCTGAGATAAAAGGGTGCTGTGGACTGAGAGGGTGAGTCAGAGGTGAGTGGTTACCATCAGAGGCTGCTGAGGAGCCATTTGTGCCACCTGAGGAGCTCCCATATAAGGAAACTGCCAGTAGACAACAAAAAGATAAATCAGTGCTTAAGTGTGGTACTCAAATAATTATCAAATAATGTTGAATTGTGCTGTTAACACAACTAGTATGTGCACACTTACCCCACCGACTGCAGGGACAGCGTACACTTGGGGAATGGGGGCCGGTGCAGCATAAGCAGAAACTCCAGGAACAAACTTTGTGAGGCCGAGAAAGAGTAAACAGATGTGTTTGTTTATGTCAGGGTTATTGTTGTTTACTGTAAAAGTGTTAATAAGAAAGATAATAAATCATATTATGAATTAACTGGCTAAGCAGCCGTCACAATTTCTGATAAAAACATCAGAAACCTACAAGTGAGACAACAGGAGAGCGCCATCTTGTGGTGCAAATAGAGTTCAATGAAAACAACTAAATTTTTTGTGATGCCATGCACTACTGCCAATTTTTTTTTTGGATTATTAATGTTTTTGTAATTGTTTACAGGCTTGTTTTTACACCCAGTTTTAATCCGTCCACACAAAGTTAATGGAAATATAGTATCTATATGAGTAGATGCACACTTCCTTCTGTGCAGTAAAACACACCAAAACAATCTAGATTGCTAAATAGCACTGCAGGTAAGAGGAAAAAACACACTGTTGAAATCTGTTGTGTCATTTTCCTTCCTGTTTTACAACCTGACAGACTCACCTGAGCAAACTGCGGCTGCCCGATGAAACCAGCCCCACCACCAGCAACCATGGGTGGGTTCAGGCCTCCAGCCATCATCCCAGGGTTTACTCCTCCGTTTGCCATCATACCTCCCATCCCTCCTAGACCTCCCATACCTCCCATACCTCCCATCCCTCCTAGACCTCCCATACCTCCCATCATTCCTCCATTCATTGCATTCATAGCCGCCAACATCCTCTGTCTCTGTATGAAGAGGGAGAAGGAACATGTGTTATTAACAATGATTTTTTTGCATTATTGTACTAATATTTCATCAGTGTGAATGTTTCTTACCTTGCCTGCATTAACCTGCAGTGAGTAAAGAGACCAGGTGTTAAATGTGCTGCTTTGCGTGTAAGACAGACAGACAGACAGACAGACAGACAGACAGGCTGTACTCACATAGCAGACGGTTGCTACAAATGTTGTGAGGAGGAGAAGCTTCATTGTGCAGCCTGAAACCTGTAAAAACATGAGAAAACACACATTTTAAATTGTAAAATCTAATTTAATTTATTTTTGTTATATATGCATGATTTTTTATTGACCATTTATTTGTTTTCAGACAGGATTGCACATTAATTATAATCCCAGTATTAAAAAAAAACCCAATACATACCTGATGTTTTTTGTTCTTCTTCAAAATGTTATGTGCCAAGCAGGACTATAGTTGCTCTCTGAATTTTGAGCACCTTTTATCAGTCCTAGAGATTATTACGAGCCAATTAGAGAGGAGAACACTGACTTGTTCATGAACTATATTTGTCACCTGTGTGTCACGGGAACTCGTGTGTGATATGACATCTTCTTTTTCTACAAGATTTGAAAGAAATGTAACGGTGAGCTGCCTTTTTTTTTTCAAAGGCACTTCAGCCTATTCAAACCTCTAACATTGTTCTCGATAAGCAGCTGAGCGACCGCAAACAACAACAGAGTGATTCAGCGTCTTGGGGAGGGTTTGCGGACGTTTCTGGAAGCTAAAAAACAGCATGAACCATCTAAATGTTGCGGGTTCTGATCACAGGAAGCAAACAACTGACATCATCATTAAGGTCTTTTATAGAGAAACCATGAAAAACCAGTGTGTGCTCTTAAATGTAATTAAACATTTACCTCTGAAGCAGCACACTGTTTATGAGCAGATGGTTGTGAGCTCTGAAAAACACCCAAGTTAGAATGACATCTTAGGAAATGTCATGCTTCCTGCTGCTGTGTTTAAGTGCAAAGTACTGTACTTGCCCTGGACATGTCTGGAGGGAGGCTTCACTGTAATTTGTGCTCAGTTCATATTTGTCTCAAAATGATTTTTACGCAACACCAGGCCTTAAAATAACTTCTCAACAGCCCAACAGTGACAACCACAAGCTGTCAGACCTCTTTTTAATTTGTTAAAAACTCTGATGTCACAAACAGACAGGAGCAGATTATTTGTCTGTCATGTATCCTCAGCACATGATGTTTAGAGCTATTACATGTATTCCCAGTGTGGTTGGCTGGGTATGCTCTCACATACTGAGGCTGTCTGGGAAAGGGTGTTTTTTTTTTGCTGCTGCTGACTGGGCAGCCCGCAGCAGACCAGGTAAACAGTCTCTGTGGAAGTCTGGTCTGGAGCTTTGTGCTAATTACACACTGTCATACAGTTCACATTGAGCAGCATTTTCTTCCTGTTTGCAGTTTATTGACACAACAAATTATATTTCCTAATGTAATCATGTAAATATATGTGTTTTATATGCATGATTCATTAATTTATAGAGACTTTTTGTTATGTCACAGGCTTTACACACCAGAATAAGCTACTCTGGGAATTCCGCCACGATATGAGTAATGTGTTTAAGATGTCTTTCATATTTAGAGACCTAAATCACCATGTTGCGAGCAGCGTACTGTTAATAGAGATTTGTGCATATTTGTCTCATACACAAAAATAACTGCCATCAGAGGAGCCACACCCATGACGATGTTGTTCAGGATTTTGCTCAACTCAACTTTACATAATCTGGGCTCCAGATATGTGAAATCAAGTATTTAGTTTATTGGTTTATTTGAATAAAGACTCCACAAATATTCAGCTATTGACTTCCATCATTTATTGCTCATTAATTATGATGACAGTGATTAATAACATTCGAGTGTGAACAGCTAGTGAGACAGGATCAAGGCGTAGTGAATAAATCATGAGTCATCTGCTGTGTGGTCTCATTTTGCTTGCTTCTCCTCCATCTCCATCTCCATCTCCATCCCAGAGTTCTCTTCCACCTCCTCAGCTTCCACCGCCTTCATCACCGGAGACTGTGTCCTCCTGAGGCGAGCTGCCACTGAACGCTGAAACCTCACTCTGCCAGCCGCCCTCCCACCAGCAGCGCCTGGCTGCTGCTGCTGGCTGTTCAGCCCGGCCACTGAGATCAGCTGCACCTGGCCAGTAGTCAACAGGGCACCCTGTTGGTTTCCTCCAGCATTCCCCTGTGGCACCACAGCAAACAGTGTGACCGGCTGACCCCTGGCACTCTGAGTCACTTGTGGGTTCACACTGGCTGCACCTGCCTGCACCACAGCAAAGGTCCCACCTTGTTGGAGAGCTCCAATGGGAATTAGCTGCTGACCTACTTGGTTCCCGACTGGCTGGAGGAAAAACGAGCCACCGAGTTGGACTAAGCGTCCCACGAGGGGTTCACCATTTAGTGGGACCCCATTTTGAGCCCCTTTGTTGGCACTGTTGCCAGCTGCTGCTCCATTATTATTCACTCCCCCATTGGCGAGTGCCTCAGCACTCCCTGAAGACACACCACCCTCCACCACAACAGCCAAGGTCTGGAGGATAAGCCACAGTAAGCAGAACATGTTTTATCTCAGTCACAGCAGACAGACAACAAGTGAAGAGCTGCTTCTGTCTTTGCTTATATAGAAAGCAGCACATTCAGCCATCACCATGAGAGGTCCAATCAGAGTCCACCGCTTTATCTCAAAACAACAAGTCACTGTAATCATCATGACCGTGCTGCTTGCTATTTTTTGCTTTGTTACCTTACAGATGGCCATTATTCAGGATTATGTGGCGAACCTTAACCTGGTAACAGTGACTTGCATTCTCCAAACCATTGTTGCAGAGGTCATGTTTTCATGTCAGGGTGGCATCAGGGAAACTGACCAACAAATAAAACATGATATTAAAGCGTAAACTGATGTTTATGTTTATCCACCGAAATGATGCAACAGCTTTTATTTCAGGGCTGTAAAGAAAGTCGTCGTCAATAAGAGGGTTAACAGAACTATTCTACGTCATGATATTGTGAAGTCCACTGCTGTCCATAAAGCTTTAATTAAGAGCTACAATGAAATGTAGGAAGCAAAGACAAACATTTACAGCATTTGCAACTAAGATAAGACACACAGTTATTGTTTCACATCTCCTACTGTAACATGAGTGTGATTTAAGGAGGAATTCTGCACTAAATCACTCTAACATACAAACCGCAGTTCTCTTAAAGCCTCATTTACAACACCTTCTCCGCTAATGAGCTGATGTAAACTTTTCCCCAGGTTGGAATGCATTAGAAAACAGTTTCTGGATGAAAACCAGCTAAAAAATAATACCTTTTTATATTCTATTAAAATCATTCTAGCAGCGTAGTCTAAATTACAGAACACAGATTCAAGCTGACACAAAATAACAGCGATGACCATTAACACTTGCCCTCTGTAGCAGGAGGTAAAAATGAGTTTCTTTCATCAGTATGAGTTCCTTATGTTACAGAGGTTCATGGAGGCGTCTGTCTCAAGCTGCACTGTTGGAGCAGCTTTAATAAGCTTCTGTTGTAGATGAGGAAGGACATGGAGCTCAGAATAGCAGGTTGGCATCCATATCATCTGTGGAGAGAACGGATAGGTGGAATCATAGGAGTATTATAGCAGACATAAAAATAAATCATGGATAAACTGGCTGCGTTACACAAAGTAATTGCTATATACACTAAAGCTAGGGTTATAAAATCACTATAACCAGTTCAAATCAATCTTCCTTTGAATGATCTGATATCAATTCATAAAATTAAAGATCTGTCTTGTAATATTGTGTATGCATTTCCCAGTGGATGCTTAAAACTTTAACCATGTTAATCTCAACAGCATTAAACTGGCCCCGGGACTACATTTATCAAATATTCAATTCTTGTTCTGAACTTTTTTAAAATAATTGCTTGTATAATTTACAGCATTAGTTGTTCTGGGAATCTCTTTCATATTCAAGCAAAATTGGTATTGTAACTGAAATATCTCTTCTTGAATTGATTTTGCATCAAATTGAATAGAAAATTGAATTAAATCAGGACCTTTATTCTTTATTTGGATCCCCATTAGCTTCCACAAAGTGGTTGCTAGTCTTCCTGGGGTCCACTCACAAAACAACATTAAAAATACAATAATTCAAAATCACTCAGTATCAATATCAGTCCAAAATTAAGACAAAATTGTGAGTAGGAATCAAATCGATTCAGGAAATCAGTTGTGTCATTGTGTAATGTTGTGTCTGGAACTGAATATGTGTTCTCAGGCATTACACTGTTGTGAGGAAAAGAGTTTTTAAAACCTAAAAAGAAACACATGAGAGTGACACATGTAAAGTAAATGTGCCTAGATAGTTAACTAACCGCTTTTGGAAAATCATCAGAGCCAAAGCGTAAATTTTAAAGCTGTCATTAATGTTGAGAAAAAATGTTCAAGGTAGAGTTACACCACAGTATGGTGTTGACATGCTGTTGTTAGCTCTTACCGTTCTTGATACCAAAACAGGAGGTCCACTCTTTAAAGGACACCTGCTTGTCCTTGTCAGCGTCGCACTCTTGGAAGAAGCGGGAGGTGCAGTGCTCCATCGGCACCAGAGGGACTCGCAGTGGAGCCAGCTCTGAGTGGGACAAGACTCTGCATGGGACAGGTGAACATCAAGATTTGATAACTGAGCATTTAATATAATATATATACACAGTACAGTATGTTTGCATTATATTTAGACTCATAGATGGGTTTTATGATACATCATCTTGGTGGCAGTGGTTCTGTTAAAGCTTTGACATCTGCCAATCCTACCATGCTTATGGTGTTAACTATCATCATGATAGTTAACACCATAAGCAAAAATACTGGTTTTAGTGACTTCAGTGTAGTATTGGCTTCTAAACACATACTAGTGAAACTCCATACTCTATGATCATTTTTAAACGAAATATCAAGGTTGAGAAAAATCAAAGTTTACTTTCAGGAGAATAAAACAACTCAGTTGCCTGAAAAATGTTGCCATGGTATGCTTTTGCAAACCACTGATACATTACATTTATATATTTTTTGTGTGTTATTTGATACAATAAAAGTTTAAATTTCTCAAAAACGCTGTGGTTAAGGTGTGGTTAGGTTAAAGCCGCTACAGGGAACTTTAATTTTGAGTTGATTTTGGCGACCCTGTGGACAAAAGCGGTAGTGTTTTGCCGGAATGAAGCCTACATTTCCCATGAGCTCTAGTGCGTATTGTCGTAAAGACGCTTACCTGGCTCGCGCATGTGTTTGTTTTGGGGATGAATGAAACAACAAGACAGGAAAACTTTGCCCTCGCTCCTATTGGGGATCCCAGCTCACCTCTGCTGCGCCCCAGCTCCACCTCTCCGGCATAAGCGCCACCGCCGCCGGGGTAAACGCAGCAGTCGGCTGGTAAGGCTGAAAGCCTGTTTGGCGAGCACTTCCACGGCTTCTTGGACTGAGTATGGAGCGGTGCCTCGCCTCTTTATTTCTCGGCACTTGTCGACGCCTGGCTGGTACCTGTTGTCGGCCCACATGAGGTGTTCCAGCCCCGCGGTCCCTGCTCTCATCGTCCCCGCTGGCGCGGGGTGAATCTGCTCAACCTGCGGCCTCTGTGTGTGGCTCCCCGGACAGCTAACACCGTGGACTCACCGGCTCCTGCCAGGATTGGGCTGGTAAATGCTACATCGCTAGTGAACAAAACGTTTATCCTGAAGGATTTCCTGACTTCCCGAGGATTGGATTTTCTCTGTGACTGAGACGTGGCTGACTGTTGGTGAGTCCAGTGCTTTCACAGAACTTTAACCCGATGATTGCTGCTATTTTAACTCCCCGCGGACGTCAGGTCGAGGAGGAGGAATCACGTCTATTTATAAGAGTCACTATAAATGTAAGCAGCTAGGTAAGATGCAGTGTGCCGTCTGAGTGCCGTAAATCGTTGTGTCCTGGAAGCGACCTGGAGCGGACCCGGACACAGTTTCCTAAAGGTATGGATATACACTATATAGAAATAGCTTATCTTCACACCGATGGTCTCATTTGCTGTTGTAGGTCACGCACAGACATCAGCAGAAACGAGAGACTTTTGCATATCCAGTTAAAAGTTCCTTGTAGCGGCTTTAAGGCACAGAAACCATTTGGTAATGGTTCGGAAAAGATCATAGTTGGGTTTAAAACACTCAATTTTGTGGCACAAAAGCTGCTGGAAAAACATGGACAGAGCGATGAAAAACATCCAGGTTCGGTGGCTCACACACTGCTAGGAAACGCACTGATGTGTCACTAAAAAACACCCAGGTTTGGTGCCACAAACACCAGTGGAAACACAGCAAAGGGTCACCAAAAACAACCAGTGTTGTAATTCATTGGTCTTGAACAGTGGTCTGTAGCTTGACAGCCAACTAACCTAGATGTCACACCATCCACCATCCCCTTCACCTTACCATGACAAAGTCAGCTTATATGCTATGTCACTTTAGAAATGTTGGCAAATGAAACATACAAATGTGATTTATGAATAGTTTGCAGAAGCGTACACTTTCTTCTGGTAACTGGACTGAATAAAATCTACCTGTCAGAAGGGTGTTGGTCCAGTTGTGCAAACTGCCAGTGCACTGGGTAGATGTACATGTTGTAGTTCTTCTCAAAGTCCTGCGCGAGCAGCTCAACGGAGTGATCACCAGCATGAAGACGCCGCTCACTCTCAAAAATTTTCTTCACCTACAGAATACACAAAATAGTGCATAATCTCTCCTTTTCCCAAATGTGCTATGTGACTTTCTGATTGACTCATTCATTGACTTATTGATTGGATATAAATAAGACAACAAATTGAAGTACTACTGTAGTGTTTTTTAAGATTAGGATTTAAATACACAGTTTTTAAGAGGCCTAAGAATCCCAGTTTATCAATACATAATCATCTGAGCAATGCATCTTACTCTAAAACGCTGTTTAGGCGTGAGGAAGCCAGGAGTCATGGAGTCATGTTCATAGAGCTGCAGCAGTACATTTTTCAACCAGTCTCTCATTCGTAGAGGAAACTGGACCAGCTCCGTGTCCACACAAGGAGGTATTACTGAGAGAGAAACAGAGAGAAAGATCAGGGTCAAATAATGTTGTTGTTTAAAGCATATGCTCTGCACAAGGCTTAACACTCACCTTTGCATGGCCCAGTGTAGTCCAGATGAAGTCTGTGTCCTCTCTTAGTGCCCTCCAGCTTGCATTTAGTAGCAAAGAGTTCACATGACGTAGCATATGTTTTGTTGTTAGTCCCACAAACCTTCAGGAGTTCAACAAGAGCGACAATCAAATGCTATACAGTAGCTGTTATACACCATCCCAGTTTAGCCCTTATTAACAGATAATCCATACTTACATGATCAAAGTCGTTCACACTGGGAGGACATTCAGACGGCTCTTGGCACACACAGCCTGGCTTATTGTCTGCATCAAGTTTACACGTCTTTCCACGTTTGCAGGGAAAATTGTCGCATGGATCTAGGAGAAAAGACAAGCACAAGAAAACCAATGATATGAAGAGTCATTCTCAGAACTGGTTTGGTTTTATTTTACAGTGTGATAACTGATGAGCTATACGCACTGCACAACGTCCCCTACATTCCTCCACCATTTGAGTTTGCACAGCGATTAAATTCAACTTGATCTCCATCATTCACTCCTTAAGCCCACAGTGCTGTGTTTTGGTAGTGACCGTGAAGCAGACTGACACTATTCATGCGGAAGTTTTAGCAAAATGATCAAGTCAGCAGATTCCCATGTGAGGCTGTTGGGATAGTGCATTAGTCAGTATGGTGAAAGCTGAATTAACCAACCAGCAGGGGCTTCTGGGTGATGGACGCCTCCACCAAGAGGGGGTCTGGAACTGGGGTAGAGATCTACCGTGGCTCTTATCTGCACTGGATTCATTCCTACCAAAGGACCCTGGAAGAGAGATGTGAAAATGTAATTTCTTGAGAAGATGACAATAAATGTGTTTATTTATCAGACTGCAGCACAACAGCAACGTAAATGTCACTGTCCCCTAATGAAAACCAGCATTAACAGATGTTTTGGCCACTTGGGGGGCACCAGAATCACTCTGTGGACACAACACTGACATCTAACTTTTAGCTGATATGAGCAACAGTTGCCTGTTTATACTTGCAGAAGATATGGAGCAATGTTTCTGGCCACTTGGTAATTATAAGCAGTAGGCAGTTTGAGGAAGGGTTGCCATCCCCCTTGTTAGCAAAATGACCAAAATGTGTCGCTTTTGTTGACCTGCTATCCCTCTCCATCCCCCCAAGAGTCCAACAACAGCTGGAGAAGTAAGTGAGTCAGGGAAAAGTAATTTCACATTTGTCTCTGTAGCTGCTTGATGCTCCACTATCTTCACCAGCGAGAGGCTAGCTTGGTCTGTCTGCCATTTGATGCAGCGCACGTTGTGTTATTCATTGAAAACAGCTGCCTGCTCCTGCCAAACGTTACCCTGAGATTGGTGAGAGTGAACCTAAACAGCCATGAAACCAAAAATATACAACCTGTTCTCATTCCCAGGTCACCAAATACCAATGTTTTGTCACACCCCTTGGCATCTGAAACCAACACACAAGGCACCCTTCAGCAGCCTCTTGGATGAAACACTTTTTAACACGTGCTTAACATTATGAAACAATCATGGTTAGGTTCGTGGTTGGGTCGTCTACTATCAATGCTCTGTCACACCACCAGTCTGATACCAAAGCCACAAGGCACCCTTTACAGTCTGTATGAGACGCGCAGCTGTCTCCTGTGTGAAACACATTTTAACGAGTGGTTAACATTATGAAACAGCCATACTTAGGTTTAAGCAACAAAACGTCTTGGGTAGGTTTAGAAAAAAGATCATGGTTTGGGTGAAAATGAATACATTTGTGACGGGGTTATGGTTACACATAACATAACCTGACATAAATATGTGACATGACCAGAGACTGTTTAAAATAATGGATGTAGCTACCGTGACACCACCCAATGGTTTCTGGACACCCATTTTGAAGCCTAGAGATCAGCATTTTGGCCGTCACCATCTTGTGTTTTTTTGGAGCCAGAAGTCACCGTAATGGGGTGGGTCTGACTGAGAGCCCGAGGTGAGGTCTCGCAGACAGCCTGTGACTTAAAGCGGCCATGTCCTTAATCATGCCTAATTTTAAGCCTTAATAAGTGAGTAAGTGGGTGAGCTGTACAGTTGTCACGAAAGGGGAAATTAGCTATAAAGACCAAAAGTGTTTTTTGTTCCAGGCTGTGAGCATGTTTATTTCTACTGTTAAGTTTGGCATTTTAACATGAGGGTCTATGGGGATTGACTCACTTTTGGAGCCAGCCTCAAGTGGCCATTCAAGGAACTGCACTTTTTGACACTTCTGTTTTGGCTTCATTTTCCAGCCCCAGGTTATCACTTGAACATGAAATGATGTATGTGACATCCATACATAACTTATGCAACATTCTGATTAAAAAAAATCAGCACTGATTTTGGTTTCACACAGGACACAAACACCAGTCACCTGGGTGAAAGTCCTGTGCTATCTACCATTTGCCTCCCTAAACAGCTCTTTGTATCAGTTGCTCTGAGCATCTGGTATTGCTGTGCATGGGTTTACATCAGAGTTTTAAAAAAGTATGCATTACCCATTTTCCTGCCCTTCTCCTCTTTGCCTTTTGGACTGTATTGTCAATGCTGCTGCCCTCAGACACCTGAGGATCCTGTTGGGTCTGTTCCTGTCCAGACTGTGTTTCCTCGCTCTGTGGAGAGTGCTTCCTTGCCCTCTTGTTCTTCTTTTGCTTCCTTGTCTTTCCCTTGGTGTGACTGCCACTCTCGTTCTTACTTTTCTCTTCCTCCTTTCCAGCCGTTCGGGAACCTGACTCGAACTCTGTAGTGCTTTTTGGTTCATGAGGGTCTGCGTTTGCTTCAGGTTCTTTCTTATCGACATCTTTAGATATTGCCTGTGAGTCTTTGTCTTGATCAGACTCCTCCTCACTGTCCACTGCCTCAGTGTTTTGAACGTCCTGTTCATAGTCATATGTTATGATGGGCAGTTCTTTCTCACCGTCTTTCTTCACTTTAACATCTGGTTTTGAATCAGGCAGTGTGTCATCAGGGTGGGGTTTTATTTTAGCAGATACAATCTGGAGAGGTTGTAAGATGCCACTATCGGCAGCGTAGTCAAGATCAGCTGGAATCTCTGAATCTGTGCTTCCATCTATCTCCTCCAGAAATGCCCCTTGTACCTCTTTGTCTGCTGTTTTTTCAACTGACTTTTCCTTCTTTTCCTCGAGTGACATATTTTCCACCTCTTCTTCCTCCTCTTTCTCCAGCATATCTTCCTTTACTCCTTCTTCCGCCTCATCTGTCACCTCTTTATCATCTCCCTCCACTTCCAGTTTGTCGTCCATCTTCCTCTCCTCCACCTCCTTGTCCTCAGTGGTCTCCACAGCCTCACCAGACTCCGCCTTGCCTTTGTCCATCTCCACTTCTTCTTCTTCTTCCTCTAGCACTCTCTCCTCTGCTTCCTGCTCTTCTTCTGCTTCCTTCTTAAGGAGGTCCACCAGCTCCTCCTCGCTCAGCAGGACTGCAGTCGTTTTGTCGCTCCTCTCAGACACCTCAAACTCTCCCTCCTCCTTGTTAGCATTAGCATTGTCTTGGGAGCTCAGTTCTTCATCTTCCTGCTCCTGGCTGCTGGCCTCAAACGTGACTAAAGTGGGTAAGATCTGTGGCTTGTTGGCCTCCTCTGTGATAACGTCCTTATTTTGGAGAAAGGGAAAATGTGAATTTTATACAACATGGAAACATTTTATGTTTCAAATACATGTTTAAAACGTCAGTGTAGAGTCCTGCTCTACCTTTTCTTTGGCTGTATGTGAAGTCTTGTGCAATCCATGATGTTTTCCATGAGGTTTACTCTTTACCTAGATATAATGGGGATAATTAATTACATGAACATCCATTCAGTTAAAGGTCCAGTGTGTAGGATTTAGGAGGCTATATTGGCAGTAATAAAAAATAAAATAAGTACAGTATGTTTTCTTTAGTGTATAATCACCAGAAAATAAGAACGGCCATATTTTCGTTACCTTAGAATGAGCCGTTTATAGCTACATAGGGAGGGTCCTTGTCCACGGGGTCCACCATGTTGCTATCTTTCTACAGAAGCCCAGAACGGAAAACTAAACTGACTCCAGATAGAGCCATTCATGTTTTCATGTTGGCCATCGTGGAAACGTCGTGAAACTGCTTTATTCAGTGTTTTTACCAGTTTAAATCACTCGGTCTGTTTGTTTTGGAGAGGAGGAGACCTCTGTGGATAATTTGGCTCCCGGTAAAAACCTCCTGAATGTCTCGATCTTAAGTTATTTGAGAAAAGGTGAGCACACATTTGCAAGTGCTGGGCTAACGCCTGTCTGCAATGACTGAACAGCATTGGAGAAAATGATTTATAACGTGAAACTGCTTTATTCTGTGTTTTCTACCGGTTTTAATCACATGGTTTGCTTGTTTTGGAGAGGAAGAGACCCCTGTGGATAATTTGGCTCCCGTTAAAAACCTACTGAACAATCAACACTGAAGGAAATCTGACCGGGAGTTCACGCTCAGCAAATGGAAAAGTTTCAGCTGGTTGTAATCTGCAATCCTCACCGCTAGGTGTCGCTAAATCCCACACACTGTTCCTTTAATGCCCAAATTGCAATAAAAAAATATCACATCTTTTGTTTGTCAGTTCTCTCATGGTGAAATTCGATGTCAAATTAAGAAAAATATTACTCACAGACAGGGCAAATGTTGCTGCCAGGAAGCAAAGGAATACCAAGCAGGCCCTCATACCTGAGACATTAAAATGAGTACTTAAAACATCAGGCTTACATCTAGCCCAAATTTAATTACATGTGCTAATTTACATTATCGTGAATCCCTGCAGAGATGAAAATTAGATAACCCAATTTAACAAAACATATTGTGAGCAATGAATACATTACAATCTGACTTCTAACGGGTCACAACAAAGACATGAACTTGGCAAAGCCTTCAAAGTTTAAACAAATGACTGCATCTGTGTGCTGCCAACACTTTCATGACAAGCAGAGCGGCGCGATTGGCCTCCACCGTTGTCAAGGTTACAGGCCTCTGAGATGCGCCTCTCTCTCAAAAGTCACATTCAGAGCCTAAGTAAACATCAGAAGCTACCAGACTGGAAAAAGTTGACTAAGTCCACAAACTTTTTGTCTCTCGGGACGGAAACAAAACAGACACTAGTGGGCCTGTCCAGGGGAACAATAGCTCTGGGGTTTGGCCCACTAAACCCCAAATAGTTGTCGACGGGGAGTGTGTGTGTATGAAAATTCACTAAAACTGATAAATCACACAGTTTTATGTGATCTTATTGTGGTAATGTTGGTAACGACACATATTAACTTTTCATATTTAACGTAACACCTATGTATATTACATGATGGTTGTTATCACTCACATTATTTAATACAAATTATTTAATTTTTTGAGGTTTTTCTTAGAATACATAAACTATAAAAGTACATCTTGATAAGTAGATTATGCACAACTATAAGTAAGCAACATTCAAAATATTATGTGCAATACATTAGTTAGTACATCACAACGTAGACGGTATAATAATAGTGACAGTATCTCTTCATATGCACAGAAATAATTAAGGCATAAATGTCACCATTAAGCGTCAACATAAAGTTTTGGCTGTCACAAACGAGGCTACAGCATAACCAAGCCAGTGGTCACTGCATACAACACACAACAAGTTTGACTGCAAATTAGTTCGTCAATGCACCTCTATTGATCATTAACAAACTACCCTTCAAAACAATGTAAAAAGACAGCAATTAGGTTTTTACCTGAGGCTGGCAGTAGCAAGAGAAATGAGAATCTTTGCCTGTGTTGAACCTGTGAAGGTGTCCTTTTGTATTTGAGACAGCGCTCACACTGTCCACACAAACTGGCATGCTACACACACACACACACACACACACACACACACACAGAGTTTTTTTCTGGGTCTATGGTGCCAACGCTTTTTTTTTTTTTTTTTTTACTTTGGGAGGGTCTTTGGGCTACAGAGATACAAAGAGGGAGAGAAATAGATCCTGCTTTGAACTTCAGTTAGGTACCTTGTTTCCTCTGGGTTATTTTTATTCTTATTATTTACTTATTTTTACACATTGTATCATTTATTTATTTATTTTTAACAATCTGTTCATTGATTTTTTTCAGATAAAAATACAGTGGTTCACAGGTTCTGTGTTACAGTTGTCAGTTTAACAGAGCCATATAACAAGACTCAACATCCCTCTCCCCTCACCCACAACCCCTGGCACCTACCCCATTCAAGCACAAGAAAAACAAGATGGAAAGTTACATAGCAAGAAAAAAATAATAATAATAAACATCTCATGCGGGTAGCACGGTGGTGTGGTGGTTAGCACTGTCACCTCACAGCAAGAGGGTTGCTGGTTCGATCCCGGGTTTGGGAGCCCTTCTGTGTGGAGTTTGCATGTTCTCCCCATGTCAGCGTGGGTTCTCTCCGGGCACTCCGGCTTCCTCCCACAGTCCAAAGACATGCAGATTGGGGACTAGGTTAATTGATAACTCTAAATTGTCCGTAGGTGTGAATGTGAGCGTGAATGGTTGTTTGTCTCTATGTGTCAGCCCTGTGATAGTCTGGCGACCTGTCCAGGGTGTACCCTGCCTCTCGCCCGATGTCAGCTGGGATAGGCTCCAGCCACCCCGAGACCCTCAAGAGGATGAAGTGGTTAGAAGATGAATGAATGAACATCTCATGAAAGATACATTGTTGTAATTCCCATTTCAGTCCAAAGAGATCTGACATTCTGTGCTATTCACATAAGACAAAAAAGAGGTCCAAGTTCCATCAAATGAATCAGTTCTACCAGACAGGGTCAGTCTGATTTTCTCCAGCTTGAGAAAATAAAGCACCTCTTTGATCAAGGTCGTATAGGTGGGTGGGACTGTGGATTTCCATTTCAACAGACTTAACCTCCTGGCCAGCAGGGTTGTAAATGCAATTAAATCTATTTTAGCAAGAGAAAGAACAGATTACGAAGGCCACACACCAAACGGAGCGGTCAGAGCATTAGGGGCGATATCTTTTCCAATTACCCTGGACAATGTAAGAAAAATTTCAAACCAAAATCTTTTCAATGAGGGGCAGCTCCAAAACATGTGTATGTAACTTGCAGTGGCCTGTTGGCATCAGTTACACAAAGGAGACACTGTATCAAACATTTTTGCAAGCCGAGCTTTGGTGTAGTGAGCTCGGTGTAAGATCCAGCATTGCATAAAGCTGTGTCTAGCACAAATTGAAGACTTATGCACTCTCCTCAAGATTTCCACCCACTCCCCATCTATGATTGTCACTCCTAAATCTGTCTCCCAGACCGTTTTCAGAGTAGCAGAGGAGCCCAGATGAAGGTCATAAATATTGGAGTATATTAACGAGATCGCCCCCCTCAATGAGGCAAGAGGTCTCAGGAACACATCAGTTTGAAGGATTGGGTAGAGCTGGGAATTCTGGGAATGCGGTACAGTTTGAAGGTACCTAAAAAATTGTCCCTTAGGGAGTGAAAATTTATCAACTAATTGTTGAAAAGATGCAAAAATGGAGTCAACATACATGTCTCTTATGGTTTTTATGTCCAGCCTAGCCCATACAGCAAAGGTATTGTCCAGTAAAGACAGAGGGAAGGAGTGATTAGCTGACAAAGGAGCCCCGACAGAGAATATATGCAGGCCAAAATTGAGCTCAAGTTTTAAGAATTTTATCATTTATTGACTCTGTTTTGGGGACACATGCACAGAGTGAGGAAGAAAGTTAAAAAACAATCTGACAGTCTATACAAATCCAGGTTTGTTATTTAGAATACACTTGTAAAACATAGATACATGACAAATTCAAACATATGATGATATTTGACTTAGAATAGAACTAGAGTGTAATGAAATATTACGTTTTCTGTATTCAGCTTTGCTCCTGATAACCTAGAGCAAAAGTTTTGTTTCAACATTGGGGGGAACACATATAGTGGCGTAGGGTAGTTGCGACGGGCCCCAGTGCATGCTTTTATGATGGGCCCTGTAGTGCAAGCAATCATGCACATATGATCTCGTCCCTGAACACATATGTAACCTGGGGTTTGGGGTCCTCCCCCAGGAAATTTTGAGCTTCAAAAACTTAACTTCCTGCATCCTGGTGAATTGTTTATGCACCAGTTTTTGTCTTTTCTGCATCAAATGTCTTCAATTTTGTAAAAATAAAACTACAACTTTTTATGTTTTCATTGGGATGAAAAATGCACATTTTGTAAATAAGTGAATGTCCCTGGTGCCCCAGGTTTAAAATCTACGCCTAAGGCTCTACCTACATTTAATTAAATGTCCAGGTCTCATGTTGAATTGATTTTTTTTTGTTTTGCTTTTCTTCTTTTGTCTTATTAAATATTGGAACAACTGTATCATGTGTAGGTTGCTTATGACAGAATAAAACCAAACCATACTCATGTGAAACTTGTCACATGAAGCACAGTTTTAGGACGGAGCTAATACATACTTTTGGCCACTAGAAGTCACTCTGCCACAGGCCTGTGCTGCTCGGGCCACTAAGTGTTATTCAAACATTTTTGAAATGATGAGTGACATAACATTAACATTAACAACAAGACAAATATCTGTCACCATTTTATTTCAAATATTTTTATCCATTGCTCATGACAGCAGAAAGAGTTGAAGATATATTTTAGTTCACTTTTGCAAGATTTGTCTTTTTATCAAAGTGTTTTTATTGTAATGCACTCCTTCTCATTTGACGTTGCAGATTCGCCATAAGAGCCATTCAGTGTCTGCTCTGGAGCTTTTAAACATATCAGGTAATGTTCATCAGCAGCTGTAATGGAAATGTAGATGTTAGAAATTTACATTTTATTCTGAGCACTTACAGTTATGTGATAACTGGGCAGACTCTATCTGCTTATGATACATGTGACATGACTGAAGTCAGAGGCATATGACAGACATGGTATATAATATTCATCTATTTTTTCATTGGTTTATAATCATTTGAACATAAGAATAGTTGTGTTTTCATTACCTCAGAATAAGCAGTTTATATACAGAGCAGGTCCTCTTCCACTGAGTTTGCCATGTTTCTTCAGTAGCCCTGAACAGACAAACTAAAAACTGGCCTTATTATTATAGCCATATGCGTTTTTGTGTAGGACACCGTAGTTCTCTTACATGCTTGGCACGCTTTAAATCAAGTTTAACCTGGCTGCAAACCGCAACCTCACCACTAGAGGCCATTAAATCCCACACACTGGACATTTCAGGTGATGTTGTCAGTCGCTGTGAACACTGTAACTGAGCTTCGTAAAATTCAAGTAAAATTCTCCACAGTTAGTGGTGGAAGAAGTGCTCAGATCTTTTAGTAAACGTACCAATACAACAGGGTAGGAATACTCTGTTACTAGTAAATGTCCTGCATTCTAAATTTTACTTAATTAAAGTAGAGAAGTATTTGAAGCAAAAAGTACTCATTATGCAGAATAACCCATCTCAATATAATATTACATAACTGGATTTTTAACTATTGATACATTCAGCATCACTTCAGTGTTACAGCTGGTAAAGGTTAGGCTAATCTTAACTATATTTCATACTGCTGAGCCTCTTAATCTATAATAATGAATCAGAATTTATCTGTTAATTATATTTTTTGCATTAATCCTGTAAATCTGCAAAGCAGCTCCTAGCTAAAGCTATTTAGGGTAGTGGGGTGCAAAGTACAATATTTACCCTTGAAATGTGATGGAGCAGAAGCAGCATGAAAATGAAAACAGTCATGTAAATAACTTTGAAATTGGAGGCAAGTACTAGAGTTATTTTCAGTTATGCTGTCCCTGAATTGCCACTGTCCTGCAGGCTTCTGTTCCTCCTTGATTAGTTAATGATTCATTATTGGCTCAGCTGCTGCTCATTAAACACCAGGGAGCAACAAAAACCTGCATCACTCTGGCTGTTGAGGATCAGATTTGAGTCTACTGCTCTATTACTAGTCTGTCTTGTTGTAAAATTGCATATCACATTAAGCAAATCAATAACCTTGATGCATCAGATGTCTGGCTGACATGTTGGATACATCATAAAAACGTATGTAACCTCAGGGCAGACACTGTTGACTGCCGGTCTGTGAGCCACAACATGCATCAATCGTCCTCTCCACTCTCTGGTAGCTGTGGTTTTGGCAAACAGCTCCAGACTGGTGAACATCCAGTCTAATTACATGTTTCTTTTGCACGGTTGAAATCCAGAGTGAGGTTAAACAAGGAATCTGTAATCTTATTTTAGGCCTGACCATATATGGGTATCCAGGAAACAATTATGAGCCTCAGGGAGGAAACATAGAAGTCTTTATTTAGGTGTCCATACTGTACATGTCCTACTTCCAAGAACACGTCTCGTTTCCAACAACATCACGTAACACTGAGGACAACAGGTTGCATAATCTCTTTAAACGGATATCCGCATATGTACGCAGAATCTGTGGGCGACAGGACAAGAGTTTGATATCGGAAGTGTTCTGGTTTTCATTTGTAATCTGTTTGTAGTCTGAGTAGTATTGACGAATCATGTTTAAATGGCACGTAAACAGTCCGTGTTGTAAGGTATTGGACGAAGTGCAATTTCCGAACCCATCAGCTATCACCTGATAACAACTTAGCTTCATATTAGCTTTCAAAAAATTATCTGCATTCATATGCGGATGTGTGTTTATAGCAACCCAACTGCCAGAAAAAAATGTTTGTATCATACATTTCTGCAAATCACAGGTACGTTACATTTGTAAACGACTTTGTGGCAGATACACTGAAATCTTACATTTGTGGTAAAGGTGTGGTTAAGTTTAGGCACAAAACACTTGGTTATGGTTAGGAAAATATCATGTTTTGGCTTAAAACACCCACATTTGGTGACAGATATGCACTGGAAAAGCAAAAGGCATCGGTCGCTGAAAAACACCCAGGCTTTGTGGCTCAAACAGTGCTGGGAAACACCACCGCGTGCTGCTAAAAACACCCAGGTGCTGTGAAAAAAAACATTCAGGTTCATTGCCAAAAACGTAGGCGGAAATGCCGCCAAAAACCAAGCAGTCTCAAATAGTAGTCTGCAGCTTGGCAGCCGTCTCACGTAGGTGTCACACCATCCACCATTCCCTCCACCTTATAGTGACAAAGTCAGCTCATGTACTATGTCACTTTAGAAGTGTGGATATACTACAGATGAGACATACAGATGTAATGTAGGAATGGTTTGAAGAATATTTTCTTGTGGTGACTGGGCTGCTTTACAGAGATTAGCCAAAATGATCGGTGCATGGATGAGGGAGTCTACATTGACAATCGGATCAGCCCAAAATATTGGCCCCTGTCCACAGAGGCTTATCACTGTCATGAGATACACAACATGGTTTGGATTTATTTTAATAAAATGTCTATTAGTGCAGGGGTGGGCAACCTGCAGCTCCAGAGCCCCATGTGGCTCTTTAGCCCCTCTCCAGTGGCTTCCTGTGGCTTTGACAGAAAATTATATGAAACTGAATAACTCTCATACAGTCTATCCATCCATCCATCCATCCATCCATCCATCCATCCATCCATCCATTTTCGTAACCGTTTATCCTCTTGAGGATCGCTGGGGGGCTGGAGCCTATTCCAGCTGACACTGGGTGAGAGGCAGGGTACACCCTGGACAGGTCACCAGACTATCACAGGGCTGACACATAGAGACAGACAACCATTCACACTCACATTCACACCTACGGACAATTTAGAGTCACCAATTAACCTGCATGTCTTTGGACTGTGGGAGGAAGCTGGAGTACCTGGAGAAAACCCACGCTGACACAGGGAGAACATGCAAACTCCGCACAGAAGGTCCCTCCTGGGATCAAAGTAGGAACCCTCTTGCTGTGAGGCGACAGTGCTAAACACCACACCACCGTGCCGCCTACAGTCTATACAGTGATTTTAAAAAATGTTCTAACATTTCGTCAACTAAAATGTGCATCATATGTCTGTGGCCTAGTGCCTTTCCCCCCGAAAACATCACTAGTGATGGCTACAGTCGTCTTGAGTCCTTCTAGCTAGGCTAGCTGTGGATTCCAAATCCAAAAAGGGAAAAGTCTCAGGGGAAAAAAGAGAATTTAATAGTGCATAGACATATATTTTTGCTTTTATTAGCAATGCTGCAAAGTTAAAGTACCAAATAATCAAAAATAGCCCACTGAAGAATAGCCACATTGTGCTAAACATATCAATAAATGATCATTTAGACATATCAGTAATGCTGATAGGCTGAATTCAACTTAAAAGGCTGTGTTACCTTTATAATGGGGCTCAAATATGTTTTGTGGCTTTAGATATATATATTTTTTCTATTTTTGGCCAAAAATGGCTCTTTTGATAATAATTGTATCAGTGTTTTTGTCTTAATGTGCGTATATGACTGGAATTATTCATGAAGTTTGAGCCTCCTTATTAAAAAATGTAATTTCCTCCTTTTTTTAAAAAGTATTTTCAATCTACCTTTGATCAAGGCACTGCCTCTCACCTGCTTCTTGTAATTAATTATTAGACAACAATAAAATCTATATAAATATATTAAAAAAATAATCAAACTAGTGGTTGACGAGACAGCACAGAAAAAAACATCCACCTCACCGGAAACAAGCATGATCCCGTCTAGCCGTCCTTTCCTCTCTGAGTGGGTGAGTTTGTTTTCTCAACAGGCCACAAATCCTATGGTTTAGTAGGCTAAACTATATTTCACTGAGGACGTGAGAGAGGGTGGAGGACACGAAGTGACTGAATGAACCCAACTGTGTGTGAGTGCGTGTGCGTGTGTTTGTGGTGTGTGTGGTGTGAGCATTATCGTGCCAGTGTGTGTGTTTGTTTTGAGCTAGCTCTCCAGAAACAAATCCACCTTCGCATGTCCACAGTTGAAAGACGGCCGGAAGGAAGTGATGCAACTGTTGTAATTAAGGTTTGCTTATATACAGTTGTTCCTACAGCATATCCACACATAGTGCTCTCGCTGCCTCAACCACCAGCTTCCATACGTGGCTCAGGACAGTTTGCTGCTACATCCACTGAGCAAGGAACACTGACAGCATTTCTCACACCAGCTGTGAATCCAACAGACAATAAGGTAACTGATCATATATTGATTTTGTGACATATTTTTCTTGCATTATTCCAAACTTTCATTGCTGTCATGAGCATTTAAGTTGTATTGTTAGTTTCTGTCAACTTTTTCTTTACATGTTTAGCAGTTTAAAGCAACTATCTATATGTTTTAGATTACTGATTATGTCAAATTTTCCTTGAGGGACGAGGTATTTTCAATTGAATTTAATCAAATTTGCAACAATATTAATCACATACTGCACGTCTGTTACAGAATGAAGGGCACCATAATCATGTTTTGCCTCATTGGAGCAGTTCTTGCCAATCCAGTAAGTATGAAACAGGAAATAAAACAATTGTGTTTCATTTAATTAACAATTAACTTATAATTAAGGTTTTCAATTTAATCTTTTAGCAATTCAATACACATTTAGCAACATTTCAAAAATGTTTGCTTGTTTCTACTTCTTTTAATACTGTCATTGACTCTTCCAGTTGCAACCATAGGCTATAGCATGCCTGTAAATGTGAGCAATTGAATCCACCATTGTGTAAAATATGACCTGTGATTTCTTTCCGACAGATTTCATACAGCGCTGTTTTGGAATCAAATGAGCTCGACTCAAACTCGGTGAGTGCAACTAAAAGTTAAAGCTATATCTCATTTGACTCCTGGTGTCACAGCGCGGGAACTCAACACTCTGTACACATTAATCATCTGACTGCAGGCAGGTTGCGGAAAAGCTCACAATAGGTGCGGTTACTCAGAGATTCTCCAGACCTCAGACACTGTTGTTTACTTTACTGTACGTCTGGATCCAGTTGCAGCAACAGCTTGAATGTGATGATTGTTGGTGTCGCAGTTATTATGTATAATTAAACATATTGTGGTTTGTGCTCTCTTTGTTTTTCCAGACTGAAAGTTTGTCTGTTTCACAATCAGCTGAAAATGACACCTCAGAAGTTCAGGTACTGTGACATTTTCTAACGCAGATGACTTTTTGCATCCCTGTTAGCTGCTGATTTTTATCTTAATCGTTGTGTATTCTTTTGTCTGTTGCAGAGCTCTGAACAGAATAGCTCAAATCAAGTAAGTTCATTTTGCTCTGTGATCTACACAACGCAAATCATTTTCTAATTATTCTAACAGCGTACTGTGAATATGTCTAAATTCACAATATCAAATGTGTGTCTTTTCAGAGTCTGAGCTCAGAATCATCAGAATCCACATCAGAGGACAAGGTGAGTTGTATCATCACTCTCTTTCTTTCACTTCATTGTCTTCAGTAAACTACATTAAGCATGTTACTGAAGGGTTCATAACCCCAAATTCATCACATTTTAAGAGTAGTAGTAGCAGTAGAAGTACAAACTCTAATGAAAATGAAGATAATTGTAACAAAAAAGATTTGAAGTGAGAGAAAAATATAGATAAGTAAGAAAAATGTGTGTTTAGTGCAGAAAGTCCAGTCAGTATTTACATTAATAAACCTGGTAGAGTGGGGGCTGCCCAAGCTGATTGCTACCACTCTAGACAATGCAACATGCCTCATATTTTTTACAGGGCCTTGGCACATTGCACAGAGTGGATTGATTCCTCCTGCTAACAGACGCTGTATGTGAAATAGATAGACTGTGATGTAGTTATGAGGATGAATGTATTCTTAAAAGCTGAAGCATAGCCACAAATCTTTGATCCATGTTGTTCATAACTGGACTTTTAACAGCATTTAGTTTGTCTGTAGGCTACAGCACAACAAAGAAGGAGATAACAACAATAAACACAATTAAAACAGACAAAAAACATTTCACTTCATAGCCTGCTTACTTACTTGGGGAAGATGCACAAATATTAAGGAAAAATCACCAAATCAACAAAATCTGCAAGTCTACAAAATCGAGTCGGCAAATCAGTCCTTGCTCTCGGTGTGGTATGACACCATGCAGAGGACGGTACAATACAGGGTCACAGCCGGACCACAAAGAGCTGCAGCTGGTAGAACTGTCCCTCCTGGCTCCCTTACAGTCAAGATGGCAGCGAAGATAACTAAAAGTTGGGACTTACTCATCTCGTAATGCGACTAAGTTTAGTGAATCATAACAAATGGGGTATGGAATTAATTTGCAGATCCTCCGGTTCAAAATGACCAAACTTTGCATCAGTTTTTGACTCACGAAAAAGACCAAGATGTGGCCTGCAACAGACAATTTCCAGAGAACTTTCTGCCCCTACTGGCAGGTTGAGAGGAGTGAGGAGTCAGCAGTCAGTGATGGTATAAAACAGTCATTAAACAGGTTTTTCCAACAATTGTGAATCACTGCAACCACGAGAGATCCTTGAGAATAGAGTCCTAAAAAAGTGCACAAAATATTAGGCTGATTGGTCCAGTAGTTTGCGAGATTAGCTGTGGACAGATAGATACACACACTCACGTACACACAAAACCCCTTCAGGCTTACACCTAGCAAAGATAACAAAAGAAATAATGTTTGTGTGCTGCTGTGCTCTCCATTGTGGAAATAAAACACTGGATTATGTCCTAACAGTGTGTTTCTTTTCCACAAACAGACTTCAGAGGAAAGCAACAGTCAGTCAGATGAGGATGATTCTAACTCGGTGGGTGCAATCTGAAATCAGTCCTCTCCTATTTATCTCATTTGACTGCTAGTGTTACAGCGCAGGAGCTCAACACACATTAAACGTTAATCATTTGACTGCAGGCAGGTTGTGTTCATCTGACAAGGTCAGCAGAAAGACTAACAATAGGTGCGGTTACTTGAAGATGCTCCAAACCTCAAGATGCATTTCCATTTCAGACACTATTGTTTACTTTACTGGATCCAGTTATAGTAGCAGTTTGAATGTGATGACTGTTTGTGTTGCAGTTATTATGTATAATTAAATATATTGTGGTTTGTGCTCTCTTTGTTTTTCTTCTCCAGACTGAAAGTTTGTCTGCTTCACAATCAGCTGAAAATGACACCTCAGAGGCTCAGGTACTGCAGACATTTGCTCCAGCAGAGAGATTATTATTATTTATCAATGCAGATGACTCTTTGCATCTCTTTTGAGTGCCGATCTTCACCTAAATGGGAATGTATTCCTTTTTCTGTTGCAGAGCTCTGAAGAAAATAGCTCAAATCAAGTAAGTTCATTTGATTTGTCAATCTTCTCATCTAATTAATCTGACATCATTCTGTAAATATGTGACCTTAAATTCATTATATTCTAAAGGTTCAGTGTGTAGGGTTTAGGGGATATCTTGGCAGAAATTAAATATGGTAAATATGTTTTCTTTAGTGTATAATGAAAATCAGAGTGGTGTTGTCATTACCGTGGAGTGAGCCGTTAATATCTGCAAACGGAGCAAGTCCTCGTCCACAAAGGTCGCTATGTTGCATCGCCATATTTCAACAGTAGCCCAAAATAGAAAAACCAAACACTGTCTCTGGATACACTTTAAACTCTAATTTGCTTGTGCAACTTACCTTTTTTTGGAAGCATCTTGCACTCAAAACTTTTAATTCAGTACAATACAGTAACATAACAGTTTTGAGTACACCAGACACAAAATAAATGCGTCACATGACCCTTATCTGGCAGGAATATGATGTCAGTTTAACATAAATTATTTTGTTGTTTGAGCATTTATATTTATGTCATAAGAACATAACAGGCATATAGTAGACATTTTACAAAGATTTTCTTATTATTTCATTGAACTATAAAAGTATATTGTGGCAAGTTTAGGTTTCTTGATTGCTAGAATAAGGCAAAGAGATTAACTCTGTATCAAGAAGTGCTGTTTATTCCACCTCAGCACAACCTCATGTAAAACACTCTAATATCCACACAGGCTGAAGGTCACTACTTAACTCATGATGCAAAATGGCTTTTACCACAACATTAACTGTAACCCATTAGAACCACTGTGAAATACATAAACGTTAATCACTGTGTAATGGGTAACGAGTGATTTAGAACACATTTAAACACAGTTTTCTTTGACTTATGCCTCAAACACGTTGTCTCACGGCATGCTAGGAAACTCCACCCATTTAGCCCCAAGACGCCTCAATATGTTAAGTGCACAATGACAGTGTTGTTTGTTGGCTTTAAACTAATTAGGCAAAATCAGCTTTATAAATTCAAGTCAAATTAACTCAAAACTCAAAAATTGTTGACTCAAATTAAAAAAAAATATATCAGGCTCACAAGGGACGCATTTTGGTGTCAAGTGAACATAAAGATTTTATGTCATTTTGACGGGGAATGTGTGTAGACTTTAAAATTTTGTGTCATGGATGGATTGGGATTTACAGCACAGGGCCATTTCCATTTTTGTGTTTTCACATCAGCCACCATAGTTAGCAGCCCCTGCGCTACGAGAGTGTCAGAAAAGCACTGATTTTTTTAAAAGTGTTTTTACTGTTTTTATGACCTAATGCTGTTGTTTTCAAGATGAAGAAACCCCTGCAAAAATGAACACTGAAAGAATGTTAGCTGGGAAGGTTTCGGCTAATTGCAATCTGCAGTCCGCACCACTAGATGTCACTAAATCCCCCTAAAGCTTACACACTGTTCCTTTAAGAGTTGTAGTAGTAGTAGTACTTGTGCCAACTCTATTGCAAAAAAATATAATTAAAGTGAAAGAAAAGATAAAGGAAATTGTGGAAATAAGATATTATTTTCTAAAACTGTATGTTTCTTTTCCACAAACAGATTTCAGAGGAGAGTAACAGTCAATCAGATGAGGATGATGTGGTAAGAACAATTAAGTCTTAAGTATTTTGCCACACCTGTATATGGCACAGCATCCATCCAGTATCTGCTTAGCTCTTATCATTCACTGTATTTCCACAGTCTGACTCCGTGGAGGAAACCAGAGATGACAGCATGGGCAGCGAGGAGAATGTTCGAAAGGTGGGATAAATATTTTGACCACACACTTAGTTTTAAACTGTCACACTTTAGCTGAGATTAAAGTTGAGTATCACGATGCTCTGCATGTTCTCTCCATCAGGGCCGAGTGTTTGCAAGCGTCATCAATGACCTGAGCACAGAGGACAACAGCAGCACAGAGGTCACAGGTCATCCAGACCACCTGACGCTGGTGGAGAACCCCACCGACAGCAGTGACACCACCAGCGACAGCACAGACACCACTGGAATTATTGGCATGAATGCCAGTAACAGCAGTGAGAGCACCAGCAGTGAAAGCAACGAGACGAGTGAGACCAGTGACAGCAGTGACGCCAGCAACAGCGCGGAGGACAGCAATGCCAGCGACAGCGCGGAGGACAGCAATGCCAGCGACAGCGCAGAGCTGGAGCAAATCAAAACCCCGGAGTGTGTGAACGGAACTCAGAGCTGTGAAAGCGAGGAGTACTTCTTCCAGGATATAGGAGACGATGCTCATCACTCAGTGGACCTTCTGATGGTGCCAGATGAGGATGAGAGGGAGTTGCATCTAAGGAGATGATGACATGCGTCTGTGTAGCTCTATGTTTCCCACTACGAACTATAATAGTATTAAATGACCTGTCTGAGGACTTCAGGATGACACATTTTGCTCTTACCCATCGCTTCTGAATGTTGATTTTGGCATTATAATGATACCTGCAGCTGATTGTTTTATTGTGTGTGTGATTATTACTGGGATGATGGTGTAACCTAAGCATCTACTTTGTTTTGAGATAAATTAAAAGAATAATAAAATCATGGTGTTGGGTACCTGTGTGTTTTTATGTAACCATTCAGACATGGACAGTAGTGGAAAGTAACATAAGTATATTTCAGTACTTAAGCAGCCAACTGTACTTGAAAGTTTTGAGTGTTTCCAATCTCTCCATTACATGTTCGAGGGAAATACAGTGTTGGGGGAAGCTACAAAGAATAGCTTTGCAAGAAACTGTGATCCTCTTTTCTTGATTGTTGGTCGGCTGTGGGTAATAAGCAGGCTACAACACTTTGTTTCTTCCTCTTTATCTAATTTTTACCAACATGGCAAGACAGTACTAACACATCTCAACTTAAGAGTACAGCAACTTCTCTTCACTCTTAAGCACGAGGCAATCACTCTCTCGTGTATCACTCACACTTGTCCTCACAAAACAAGGGCAGGAAGGAACCAAACAGCTCATAACCAAGGGAACACAATGACTCCACTTAAACACTGCACATGAAAATACAAATGAAACAATATACAGAGTACTGTAAATGATGCTGAATTAATAATTGACCAGTAACTCAATAATGCTAAATCTATTATTACTTGAATATGAATAATGTATCCATTCATAAATAACACAGTAACTTTAGTAATAAAAATAACCCCAAAATATAATGCGTGCAGTAATTATGGTCACAGTACCAATACTTAACACTGGAAAAAGGTGAATTACAGCAAAGCTACCCTTGGGAGAAATCTAGTTTAGTTAACTAAAGCTCTCCAGTGGCTCCCCGTGGCTTCGACAAAACAAAACATAAAAAAATTACATGAAAATGGATACTTTTTTTTTTTTTTTTTAACATTTTTATTTATCATGTTTTAACATTTCATCAGATAAATGTGCATCATACATCTACCACCTGGCAGCTTTTTCTCTAAATTTTGCCACACCTCAGCAGTATTGGCTCGTCTTGAGCCTCCCATGGATTCCAAAAGTAAGTAAAAGTCTCAGAGGAAAATACAGAATTTGATAGTGAGTGGACGGATTCATTTGCTTTCACTGCCAACAATGCAAATAATCATAAATGTAGTACTGCTGAGGAGTCATCTTGTGGTAAAACATATTTTTGAATGCTCATTTAGACCTATTTTTAATGTTGCTGCTATTTTAGTCTTAATACGCAGTATTACCATAAGGTTCAAATATGTTGTGTGGCTTCAGGCAAATTTTTGAAAATTATTTTTGGTCAAAAATGTCTCTTTTGACAGTTAAGGTTGCTGACCCCTGGTCTAGGTGGAGTAATTGCACCAAATAGGATTACTCACAGGTAACTTCTAAACTAGCACACCAGAACTTCTCTGATATTTGTTAATAAACAGCAATAATCACTAGTTGTGGCCAATTGTGGTTCAATAGAGAAGCTATGGAAAGATAAACTAATTTAAAAAAATAAAATAAAAAAACTTTCCTTTTATGGCCTACCTAAAATTGTTTGCACTTTCAGTATAGGCCAATTAATTACACAAAATGGCAGTAAGTAGTATAACAACTTGAATCACTTTGTAAATATGAATGTAGTTAAAGTACCAGCATGCTACACCAAAATATATAGTTGTAAACTAAAATCAGCCATTTAGTACAATACTCCCCAACAAAGGGAACACATTTTACTTTTGACTTCACTGCATTTATTTAATAACTACTAGTCCCTTTGCAGGTTAAGATTCTATATATAAAACATGTGATCAGCCTCTAAAATATGACTTGCTTTAGACAAACAGTGTCTTTTATGAAGTGTTTCTATGTTTCTATGTTCTATGTATTCCTATGCAATGACAAGGCTTTCTAGCTTCTCTCTAGCTTCCAGCCACAGTAGCCAGTTGCATGTCTGCAGTAGCTTTATGTGGGGCCAATATGACTTTACCTGTGATACTTTGGACAATCTTTTTTTCGCTGATTTCCGTAGTTTACATTTAAGTAAAACTGAAGACAGGAGGACTTTTACTAGCACTGTCGTTTTAATAATTGTAGTTAGGCTGAGTCGTTAAGATTTGAGAACGACTTCTTCGACCACATGGGTAAATATTAGCCAACTTGAAGCTAGCTTAGAAGACAGTTAGCTAGTTACTGAAACTACACTACCTAGAATAGCCATTTATTGTTGAAGCTTAAAACTACAAGAGTTGACTCAGTGTTAGTTTAACACAATGTTGACCTGGGTGGTCGTGTTGTCATACCACAATGAAAGATGGAACGAGTTTTAAGTGTATATTATCGTGAACAAATACCGTCATTTTATCTCCTGATAGCATGGCCGGTTAGCTCAGTTGGTTAGAGCGTGGTGCTAATAACGCCAAGGTCGCGGGTTCGATCCCCGTACGGGCCAGAATCAACTTTTTCCATTTGAAATGTTTTTGTTATGAAGTGTGGTGGACCTCGATTTGACAACATATAATTCCAGTTTTAACGCAGGGACAGGATGTTAAAGCGCAAATCCCAGGGAAGTGTATATGCATCCCTCCCTTTATAAAAACAAACACTAGATGGCGACAAAGTCAACAGTTCATGCAGGGCGTCTGCAGCATACAGGTCTACAGGTACCAGACTTTTAAGGCCTTATTGTTGTACCACGGAATTTAAGACTTTTTAAGGACCTGCAGACACCCTGTCATGCTGCAGTCTTCGAGGCCCTGCAAAGCCTGACGGATGTTTCCACTTACTCTGGATCATTAGACCTCTGTCCAGTTTTAAATTAAGCAGAGCCATGCTGGGAATTACATAACGCCTTCAAAATGATAAAGGTACAAGTTGTCCCATCCTAACATAAAACTTAGTGGGGAATGAGGGAGTTGTCAATCAAGCACTGTCTGCCAGCACCCACACAGTACAGAGAAGTCTATCAGGAACAGTAAGTAATAATGAGTGTGTGGGTAGGATATGGGCGTGCAGGGGCTACTCACTCTCCTCCTTTTAATATTTAATACAGACTCAAGCTCTGTCAAGCTCACAATTGTCGTAATTTCAGCAGCATGACACCTCCCTCTGGCACAAAACTGTCTTTTCTTCAGGTGTGGGGTAATTTTCCAACTCATCCAACTGCCTTAAATACTTTTTCAAAGCTTCACATCAGACCCCAAAACTTCATTTCATGCTCCTACAGAGCCATTGTTTAGTTAAGTGCATCACAGAATAAGATGGGTAATCTCCAGAGCCACCTGCAACGTCTGCTTTTAAAGTCTTGCACTTTTAAAATGCTTGTAAAACCAAGATAGTCCAGTGTGAGCTACTTGATGAAGGTTTTCCCAATGTCTTCTTTCAGACATGTTAAAAGATGGTCTTAAAGCTTCATTTAAAACAAACTAGCCGCCTTTTTTGGCAGTAGTATGGTTCCAGGACAAAGAGACGACTGCAACACATTAAAAAAGTATAACATAATTCTTACATCTTCCATTACCACTTCATACAAGTTCTAAAATTTAAATAAAATGCAAATAGAGTTACTAGTGGGTGTTGCACTATTGGGGAAAACATGCTACAGTTTTAAATGACACAAATCCAGCATTCACTTCTTAGAAAAACATTTAATACAACATAGTGTTTGAAAATGTGGGAACAAAAGATGCAGTGTGTGGCAGAAAAACCCAGATGAAATCCAACATAAGTGCATCTTAAACCTGCTGACATGCGACATGTTGAAAATCCAAATAAAGCTCCAGATGGACATTGTGTTCTGGTCACGTAATAACAAGTCTTATAAAACCGTAAATCAAAATTAACAGGCAAAAATAATGCCCATCACACTACAGTCCTGTGCTGAACCATAAACATCTGACACGTTTTCCCTTCAGTCACTGTCTTAGCTGGGAAAGTGAGACTTGAGGTGCTCCTTCAGAGCGGGTATAGTAGAAAGCTCTCTGCGACACACGTGACAGCGGAGAGGTAGTTTCAAGAGCTCGCTGGTTCCTTCTTTGACGGTGACCCTTCCGTTTGTTTCGAGCATCTGAATGACATCTGCAGATGACAAAATGCATAGATAAAAAGCTTATTTGCAGTAATGAACACAATTTACTACTGTGGTACTTCTAGCTAACAACTCATACTGACAAAAAATGTAATTAGTTCTCACCATGAGACTCCATGAAATAGTCAGTTGTGAATGAGTTCCAGTGCTTCTTGTTCTTTAAACAAGGAGAGTCGAAGTCTTGGCTGATCACATGGAGGTGTACGTGACTGTAAAAGAGAATATGCACAAAGTGTGTTCATTTTTTATGTGTATACATTAAATATGTGCTGATCCTCCTCCTCGTGAACTTTGGGGTTCAATTTCGTTATAGGTACCATAGTTTTTTGCATTTAAAAAGGACCATACCAATGCTTTTCATACATGTTTGAATACCATTTTTCAGGTCTTTGAAGACTGACGTATCAGGGTTTCTGATTTCTGTTTAAAGCAAATGATCCAACACAGGCTTATTAGATTGCACACCATACCTTGTGGTATTTACTTAAGGTCTGCAATAAAAATGTTTACAAAAACGTATTGTAGAGGGTTTTTTTTTTCCCCCCCAAAAAACTAATTTCTATACAGTGAAGTAATGGCATCCTGAGCAGCGAATGAAGTCACCTCTGTGTGTGTTGTAATTGGAGCTTCTCTGTGGTTATTTTGTGGGACACTGGTCACCGGTTAGTGCATGTGTGCATCCCCCGCTTTACACTGCACTCATGTGCTCTGGGTAGAAATTAAGGTTTCTAAATTGCCTCTACCACTACAGTACATGACGTGACTACGGGAATTTGGCTGTTCTGTGTAAGGCAGAGTGAAGCATGATGTATTTGTAAAGCACATTTTACACATAAAGACAATTTACAGTGCTTTAAATCCATTAAAAGCAAACGGGATAAAATAAAATAGTTATTCAAAGTACAGACCATTTCAAAAGGAAAAGACAGAGAAATCAATACTTGGCAGGTAAAGATATTAAGTACATGGTGGGAAATGATGAAATGCTTAAGTATCGATCAAAGGCAGCAGTGAACATAACGTGAACCTTTGAGCTTAGATTATTTTGTTTCATATGAACTGTACTATCTTGAAATGAAAACAGTGGCTGTCTTTAATAAGAGAAGTATGTTATTAAACTTAAAAACCCATGCATATTAGAAAATATAATATAATTTTGTACTAAATGCTGAAACATCAACATTATCTTTCAATGTGATGGCACATCTCGAACACTGATTACTGACCTCATACTGGGGATGGCATGGTACCCTGTGCGGAAGCGCAGCGAGGTAGCATCTGGGCACTGCTGAATCATCTGGTCAGCAACTTCCTGCATGTGTTTCACCAGGTCGCAGTGCTCGTCACGTAAAGCCTTCAGGCTGGAAATGGTCTGCCACGGGAGGACCAGCCAGTGGTAGCGAGCTTTGGGGTATTTATCTTTGATTACCACTACTTTATCATCTTTGTACACCTACAGAGGAGGAGACAGTGATTTTTTAACATTCTCAGCTAGGATCCAGATCAGTTAGCATCACAACAACTGTAAATCTTTACTTATTTCTCTAAGAACAGCTACCTGCATGTTTGGGTCTTGCATTGAGACCTTCAGACCTTGGCTCCAATGTCCAAAACTTTCCTGCAACAAATTTAAGGCAACATGTATTTTAATAAAACATACTAACAACCACACAAGAGAAAAACATGTATAAACATTTTTTTTATCTGTGCACACACACTTTCTTTGCTCTCTTACACTGGTTTTTGTGACTTCTCCCTGACTGACTGACACAGAGACCTGTTCTGTCTGTTTGGCTGCTTTAACATTTGGAGCCTCTCTGCGGCTCTCTCTGTCCTCTGAAGCCGACTCTCGGGGTCTTTTGGTGCCACTGCCCTGATCCCCAGTGGGATCCTCCTTGAATATTACAGTGTATGGGTAGAGCTGATTGACAATGTGAAGCTTCTGTCCGGGCTTCATTTTCACCTCACTGTCCTTACCCACCACCACTGAGTCTACGGAGGTCGGATTCAAGCCCAGCTTTGGAACAAAGACGAGAGATGAGACACAAAGTGTTAATTAAACAGCGTTAGATTACAGTAATTAATAAATCTCAGCGTAACAACTGCTTTATGAAAGCTTCACTTTGATAAAAAAAAACATTGTTCTTTATGTTTCTTACCTGTTTAACTTTGACATAACCTTTGTTGCATTCAGCTTTCAATTCAACTGGTTGAGAGAGGATAACATTTGTATAGATTAAAGTTTGTTTTCAATACTTAAAAAGATTTTAACTTATATATGAAAAATGAGCACACATATAAAACAAATCTAAAGACATGTTTTTAACAAAACTGTACACAATTTAAAAAAACTATGAGGGGAATTGGTCATTTAGACAGATTAAATTTAGAACTGTGACAGAAGGGGTATGAAGGCTCTTTTAAAGAATTCAATAGTTGCAATGTGATGTTTGACTTCCCTAAAAAACTCACGAGAGGCTAAAATCTGGAAAATTGTTAACTTTATAAATAAGGCCAATATGTAAATAAAAAGGGACAGAGTAATACGGTTTATCTTTAGATTTGTGGAAATTATGAAGCCAAACAGTAAGTTATGGTAGCACAGAGAATAATTACTAAATTTGATCATAAATAAATCCAGCCAACTTTCACGCCAAAATGTTTTGTGCAGAATAAAAGCATAACTACAGAGTCCCTAAGGTCCCAAAAGGTAAATTATTTTATCCTTTTTATCCCTGGGGCCTGTGGGATAAAAAGTTACTATCTTGTGGGACCACATCAATTATCTTGTGTGGACCACTTATTTATCTTCATACAAAATAACATAGCTACACTAAAAATATATATAAATGCAACACCTTTGTTTTTACTCCCATTTTTTTACAAGTGGAAATAAAGATCTAAGACTTTTTCCGGTGCCCATAAAAGGCTTGTTTCTGTCAAATTTAGTGCATAAATTTATTAAACCCTTAGGACCTCACAATACTAGGGCCACAGATATGTTTTTTTGTCACACAAGATTAATATGGAAGAGAACACTTCTCCAAAGTGTCAGACACTGAAGGTGAGCGTTTGCCCACTTAAGTCAGTTCTGATTCCGAACTGCTGTCAGGTCACGAACCTGCTGAGGATGACGGGCATGTAGATGAGCTTGCCTTAGATAGCTTCTGTCAGTTTGTACAGAAATTCTTTGGTGGGTAAAATATCTGTTGCAACAGCTTTCGGGTGGCTGGTTTCAGACAATCATACAAATGAAGATGCTGGATGTCGAGGTCCTAAGCTATGGTTAGACATGGTCTGCGATTATGAGGCTGGTTGAATGTACTAATTCACAGGTCACAGCTCTGTTGGACATTTCTGCAGTCAGTCAGGGTGCCAATGGCACACTCCCTAAAAACCTATGTGACAGGTTGTGTGACAGGTTGTGTGATAAAACTGCATATTTTCGAGTGGCCTTCAATGTGACCAGCCCAGGGCACACCTGCTATGTAATTATTGTGCTGTTTATTCAGCACCTTAATATGACACACCTGTGAGGTGGATGGACTAACTCCTGAAAAATGGGAGTGACAATAAGTGTTGCGTTTAAGGTTATATTTTTATTTGGAAAACATCTACAGTATGTGTTAAGTACAATATATGTGCAGTATATACGACTATAACTTATGCTTTTGAGCCCACTGGAATTGACTTTTTTAATGTTCAATGCTCATAGTCATTTTGTTATATAACTCAAGCCAGTGACAAAGGGTAGTTACTATGGGCCCCAGTGTGCCCAGTGAGAGATGTTGCACCTAAACTAGCTATTGTAAATCCTATCGTCTCATTACATGATTAAACAGAGACTTGACATTGATATTGATATATGACAAAAACTATTAAAAAAGGAAACTGTTAGTTTAGTTAAACTGTACTTCTTTATAGTTTATGTAGAATAAGCATATGATTTTGTTAGATTGATACTTTTTTACAGAAACAGAAAACCATGGTGGAGATGGCTTTTCTCGTTTTGAGGGCATGTATAGAAAATCACACTACTTGTGATTTAATGTGAGTTCTTTGAACATGGGCATATTTTCCAGGTGGCACCCCACAGGCCCCAGTGCACCCACACTGTCTACCTGTTTATGTTTACGCCCCTGACTCAGGCTACCAGTTTGTATGGTAACTGCCAGTTAACGTTACTTCGAATTCATGTTTAATTAGGTGACATTTGTGTGTAAACGTAATGGCATTTTCTTATCTTTTCCTTTTTGCTGGTGTTGTCAGCTAAATGCTAACGCAGCTAAGTCAGTGTATCTAAACACAAATGTATCGTTATATTACCTTGCTGCCGCGAGCATTTTTTGTCTTTAATAGTCGTCTCTGGACCTCGACCCAGGACAACTGTCTGCAGGTGAGGCAGTCGGATAGGTTTATGATTGCGCTCCTCGCTGATAAGCCAGCAAATTGGCATTTTATCATTTTATGTAGCTAAAGACGTTGATTTCCGACCGAGTCAACTGTTACAGCCGCTGCGCAGCACGCGCTTTGTTTTGGTGACGCATTTCGTCGCAGGACATTGACGTCACAGAGTCGGATTTTGTGTCGAGGCGGGTCAGAAGCTTCTCGAAGAGTCTGTGAACTGAGGTGTGATCTGGATTCAAACTACAGGCTTCATACAAGGTTGGAAAATAATACCCGTAACTACATTGGTAGTGTTTACCGGCGTGACATTGAATGTTTGTAGCGTATCGTTAGAAAAAGTGCCTAGAGCTAGCGTGTTAGCATTAGCCATGATATCATTGGCTGGGCTAACGTTGAGTAACCGCTAGCTAAAGTACGTAGGGCCTGACTGATATGAAACCTCGCCACTGTCATTATCATGGGCAGGATAACAGGTAGTTGCTAATAAACTAGCATTAATTAATACTTTTGTCAACCAAAAATAAACCTGTGGTGGTCACATTGTCCGTTGTTGTCAGCCCCTGAATTCCTTGATATTAGGAAACATGTCACATAAATTATCAGAAGAAGCATGACGTGTAAAAGTAACTTAGGTTTTACCTGAAGCTCTTTGTAGGTCTTTACTTTTCCACTGTCTACTGTGTAATCTGAATACTTCATGTCAGGCTTATGGTCCAAATATAAGGCAAAATAGTCGATTACAAACAACCATCATCCATATCACAAGATGTACTGGTAATCAACATCACAACTAGCTAACATTACTTTTCCTCAAAATGGAAAGAGAAACTACTTCACCTTTGGTAGGATAAACAAATGATCTAACTAATTGACTTATAAGCCTGTCTGAGCTTTTTCAGAGAGGTATTGATTTAACTTAGTGGTCATTGTGGAGACTGCAGGTGGTGTTGTTTAAATGTACTGTTACATTGAGAATTACATTTTGTCCTGCACTTTATATCAATAAGGATAGACTATGGTATATTATAATTTAGGGATGGGAACCACCAGAGACTTTGTAATACAATACTGTCAGGATACAATATTATTGCATTTTTAAATGTGTTGCGATATGCTGAGTATTGTGATATAATATATTGCAATTTATTACCTGTAAAACTTTGTCAACGTCTGTGTTATCTAATAAGATACAGTTTTGAGTCCGTTCATCTCACTTAAATCTTTTTTTTTTTTTTTTTTCAGTAAAATGTGTGTAGTGAACTGAAAAAGCAACTGATTATATAATTCAAGTAGACTATATAAAGTTTAATTTGTATTTGTAATATTGATAATCTATATAAGAAAGAAAAAACAGTACTTGGCACTGTATGACGATATGATATTGCCACACAAAAATATAGCAATACTATGCTGTATCAATTTTTTTCCCTAACTTTACAGCCTTAAAAATAACCATAAAGTTGAAAAAGCACCTCTTCAAAATAATATTTTCTAAAGCATTAACTACACCTCTGATGGAGGTTGGATTTATCGTAGGGCTGTTGCATCATACTGCATTAGTTTTAGCTGGGTTTACCCAAACTACAATGAAGTTTACAGTAGATCTACACATACATGTGTACATAACTGGTGACCCTCATCACTGCCTCGTATCTGGTTAAATTTTTCCCAATACATAATGAGTAGTAGTATAAAATCTTGACACACTAACATTTTCATGGTGTCATTAGATGTCTGTGCATCTGTGAACCCTGAAAAGTGTGACTCTGACATTTAGTGCATTAGAAATTTTCATATAAGGGTACTGTAAGCATATACTTCATTGTTGATACACACTGAGTTGTCAGTAAGTAATTACATCTGTATAATATAATCAATCAACTACAATAGTCAACTAATCATACATTCGGGAAGCTTGTAATGTGTGTCAGAGAGATTCTGATTCAACTAAATGCTTATTTTTTTAGGCTATATTCAACAGTTGTGTTGTATTGGATTGCACTATATTGAAAAAAATATGTCTCGTGTTTTGTCCAACACCATTTATGAGGGAGACAGAATATTTAGACATTTCTACACTATTTTTTCAAATAATGGAAAGAGCATATCCAAATCTAGCCCTTTTTCAAAGCCATGCCCATGCCAAACATTTTTACAACCCAACAGCATAAAGGCCAATCTCACAGTTCAGCCACATGATGACACACTTTGTTATTGCATCTATTAAAGGAACCTCTCTCCTCCTTTCTCAGAGTTTAGAGACTAAATGTTGGTATCCATTCTGGTAGGTTTTGAGAGATTTTAAGAGCTGAACTGGACCTGAATATTGACATACTGCTTGTGTTTCACCTTTCTTTTACTTTTTCAAGGTTATCCATCAAAGTCAAACATGGTTAAGGAAACAGGCTACTATGATACACTGGGTGTGAAACCTACTGCTACTCCCGACGAACTGAAAAGGGCCTACCGCAAACTAGCTTTGAAATATCACCCTGACAAAAATCCCACAGAAGGAGAGAAGGTAAGTACCTGAATGAACTCAAACGTTTGCAGCTGTATTTTAATATATGTGCATGTAATTTTACTTGCATGGAAATTAAATTAAATATAAATATTAAAATGGATATCAAAAAATGAAATGATGTAATGGCTTAGACTAAACAGGGTATGTGTGGTTATTGTTAAATCTGTTTTTGGTTGTTTGGTAGATTTATTAAAATGTTAGATTTATCTGTTATTTTCTGCAGAGGCCATATAAAAATAATTTGAAGACTTGAGTCATTATCAGATATCAGTTATTAGTTTGTACACAAGCTCAAAGAGTTTAATTTTAATCTTTTAAGCAGCTGCATATTGCCAGAAATGTTTCTGATCCTCTTTAATGACCTAAGTATTTTTGTTTCTTTACCTTTGTAGTTCAAGCAGATCTCACAGGCTTATGAGGTTTTGTCAGATGCCAAGAAGAGAGAGGTCTATGACCGTGGAGGTGAAAAGGCTATAAAGGAAGGAGGGACTGGTGGCGGTGGTGGGGGCTTTGCATCACCCATGGACATCTTTGACTTATTTTTTGGAGGAGGTAGTCGGATGCACAGAGAGCGAAAAGGTACAAAAGTAATTACTGATCTAAGATGATGTAAAGTTTTAACAATATCTTGGTTGCAATTGTTAAAAAAGCAAATTTAAGGGACCCTCCTCCAAGATGTTTATTAATGTCATGGGCTGGGAACAGAAAATCCACATTGGCAGCTTGTTATCAAATTTTTTAAACATTCAAATATCGATATTTGTATCCGACTTAAAATCCTGTATCAGTTGGGCTGTAAGCTTTACTTTGCAACGTGTATGATGTAGGCCTATGAGTTTTCTTTCTGCAGCTGTTTGTTTAACGGGAACAAAACAATAATTGTTCATGCCCTAATGAATCTCCTTCTCATTTCTCCTGCAGTCACACCACAGTCAAAACACAGGGCTGTCTAGAAAGCATGACAAATGTTTTTTAGGATGCGTCTTAACTGATCGTACATTACAGTACATTTTTATCTTGTTTGTGACTATGCCGTTTAGCTAAAAAAAAATTCAGAGCCTGAAATAGAGAGGGAGACATTTAACTTCAGATTCCCTTTTTGCTTGTAATTTAGGACTGGTGTCAGAAATAGGTTTGTTTAGTTTATTTCGGTCATTTTCCAACTAATAAAACTTGCATACCAATCAAGAAAAAGTAATAAATAAACAAAGATATGTCATTACCTTTGAAGCAGTACAAACCAAATGAAGTCTATGCTGACCCAAAAGGTGTCGGCTGAAATTAATTTATTGCATCTGTCCTTTTTACATTACTTGTTTGGTACTGTTCCCTTTAGATTTATACAACTAAAATGAAAGAAACAAGCAAAACAAAATACATGTACATTATATATACAGTACAGGCCAAAAGTTTGGACACACCTTCTCATTCAATGCGTTTTCTTTATTTTCATGACTATTTACATTGTAGATTCTCACTGAAGGCATCAAAACTATGAATGAACACATGTGGAGTTATGTACTTAACAAAAAAAGGCGAAATAACTGAAAACATGTTTTATATTCTAATTTCTTCAAAATAGCCACCCTTTGCTCTGATTACTGCTTTGCACACTCTTGGCATTCTCTCCATGAGCTTCAAGAGGTAGTCACCTGAAATGGTTTCCACTTCACAGGTGTGCCTTATCAGGGTTAATTAGTGGAATTTCTTGCTTTATCAATGGGGTTGGGACCATCAGTTGTGTTGTGCAGAAGTCAGGTTAATACACAGCCGACAGCCCTATTGGACAACTGTTAAAATTCATATTATGGCAAGAACCAATCAGCTAACTAAAGAAAAACAAGTGGCCATCATTACTTTAAGAAATGAAGGTCAGTCAGTCCGGAAAATTGCAAAAACTTTAAATGTGTCCCCAAGTGGAGTCGCAAAAACCATCAAGCGCTACAACGAAACTGGCACACATGAGGACCGACCCAGGAAAGGAAGACCAAGAGTCACCTCTGCTTCTGAGGATAAGTTCATCCGAGTCACCAGCCTCAGAAATGGCAAGTTAACAGCAGCTCAGATCAGAGACCAGATGAATGCCACACAGAGTTCTAGCAGCAGACCCATCTCTAGAACAACTGTTAAGAGGAGACTGCGCCAATCAGGCCTTCATGGTCAAATAGCTGCTAGGAAACCACTGCTAAGGAGAGGCAACAAGCAGAAGAGATTTGTTTGGGCCAAGAAACACAAGGAATGGACATTAGACCAGTGGAAATCTGTGCTTTGGTCTGATGAGTCCAAATTTGAGATCTTTGGTTCCAACCGCCGTGTCTTTGTGAGACGCAGAAAAGGTGAACGGATGGATTCCACATGCCTGGTTCCCACTGTGAAGCATGGAGGAGGAGGTGTGATGGTGTGGGGGTGTTTTGCTGGTGACACTGTTGGGGATTTATTCAAAATTGAAGGCACACTGAACCAGCATGGCTACCACAGCATCCTGCAGCGACATGCCATCCCATCCGGTTTACGTTTAGTTGGACGATCATTTATTTTTCAACAGGACAATGACCCCAAACACACCTCCAGGCTGTGTAAGGGCTATTTGACCAAGAAGGAGAGTGATGGAGTGC